GGGAGAGCACATCAAGACCGAGCAGCTGGGAGACTCAGAAAGGAGGGAGAGCGAGTCTCGTCTTTGCTCAGGGTCTGGGGTTTGTAATGAAGGTGATAGTCTGGTGTCCCTGTCCTCTCAGGCATCCAGGAAATGGTCAGAATAAGGACCAAGGCTCTGGTGTCCTCCATAAGTCACTTATGCCCCGGGACCAGGGGTCTTGGTGTCAAGGTGTCTGGAGTCGGTGGTCTTGGAAAAAGTTTGCAGTGACCCACCTGATCACTCCGTGGGTGTTACCTATTATGCTGGAAGACTCCAAAGAAATCGTTAGCTCCTTGACCCGTGCAAGGAGGACCTGAGGCGGGGGTGCCGGTCCTAGCAAGAATAGAAGCAGAAGGAGGAAAAAAGGCAGGGTTTTTTTTTTTTTTTTCCCCCAAGGAACTCCTTTTGCTTCCCCATCTCACAGTGACGGCCGTGTCGGACACCTCACCCAGATCTGAGGGGAAGGTTTCCCAGCGGGAGTGACATGGAAACTGAGCTGAAACATGAATGGGGATAAGCCGGATGAAGGAGAGAGAAAGTTGCAGACGGAGGCACAGCAGGCCCACAAGTGGGAGAATGTACATTCCAGAGCCTAAAACAAGTCAGCGTGGCAGAAAGAGGGAGTGGAGTGCCTCTGCGTGCGTGTGCGTGTGCTTGTGTGTGTGTCCTTGAACGAGTGTCAGCATGTTGGGGGTGAGGCCAGATTACAGACATCAGAAGACGTTCTCTTGAGGGCCCTGAAAGTTTTAGGCAGTTATTCCATTTCCCGGAGAGGTGGAGAGTGGATGGGCCAGTGGCCAGCCTGACGGCCAGAAGAGGGGCGTGGCTATCAGATAAGATGACCGGAGGCAATGGGATGTAAGAGACATTAGGTGTGGAATCCACAGGATTTCGAGGTGGAAGAGTGATGGGGATAGCCTGAGATTCAGGCCCAGGTAACTGACTAAATGTTGACATTTTTGGTAGTAGATGCAGAACCATTTACTAAAGGCTGCAAGGAGCCAGAGAGTCCGTATTTCTATTTTATTTGGAGAAAGTTTCAGAAGTCATCTTAACCCTGAGAAGTAACAATACTGTATTATTTCATGGCACTTTTAATATTCATGTGTTTTATCTCAATTAGCCTTGAATCACAGTAAGGTAGAGAGGAAGGATTTGAGTCCCACTGACCTATAAAGAATCCAGGGTAAAGTCCTTGTTCTTCTACTACCCTGTTCTTTTCTTTTCTTTATTTTTTAAGATTTTATTTATTTGACAGAGAGAGCACAAGTAGGCAGAGTGGCAGGTAGAGGGAGAGAGAGAATCAGGCTCCCCACCGAGCAGGGAGCCCAATGCGGGGCTGGATCCTAGGACCCTGGGATCATGAACTGAGCGGAAGGCAGACGCCTAACCAACTGAGCCACCCAGGCGCGCCTACTACCCTGTTCTTTTAGAGCAGGGACACTACCTAGTTTTTACAGTCTGTGAGCTGAGAGCAGTTTTTACATTTTTAAGTGGTTGAAATTTTTAAAAAATCAAAAGAATATTTCATGACAAATGAAAATTATATGAAATTCAAATGTCAGTGTTGTAGGGACAAGGGCAGGTCACCTCAAGATAGGCCACTTTAAAAAAAAAAGATTTTATTTATTTATTTGAGAGAGAGAAAACACGCAGGTAGCGCGGCAGAGGGAGAGGATGAAGCAGACTCCTCAGTGAGCAGAGAGCCCAACGTGGGCCTCAAGTCCAGGACCCCAGGATCATGACCTGAGCTGAAGGCAGATGCTTAACTGACTGAGCCACCCAGGCCTTCCCCAGATGGGCCACTTTGGCAGGAAGATTATTTTGAGTTAAGAAATCAAAAGCCAGCAGATTCAGGAAAAGTGCTTTACTTCTCCGGGCAACTGTACCAAGAAGAGAGCTACGAGAGAGAAACCTCTCTTTCATTAACAAACTTAGGTGCATAGCAGGGCAAACTTTGTTTTCCAGACTTCTCTCACCTTCTGCAAATGCTCTTCCTTCCCTTTGTTTTCCCGCACCCTGCCCCCTCCCCTGAGCTCAGGACTCCAGATAAGCCTCTATAAGTTCAGGCTGTGCGGATCACCCGTATTTAGGAAATGTCATTTGATTTACTCCTGTTCCTCCCGCTCATGTCAGTTTGATTCTTCGTCCAGCTAGAAGGATCTTGGAGGGCAGAGGAAATCCGCCCTCCCCAACAGTAACCAAAAAAGTTTATTGAAACATGCTGGGGGGAGCGGTTTGGGGAGAGGGCGGCGGGGTGATGGACACTGGGGAGGGTATGTGCTATGGTGAGTGCTGTGAAGTGTGTAAACCTGGCCATTCACAGACCTGTACCCCGGGGCTAAAAATACATTATATGTTTATAAAAATTAAAAATAAATAAATAAATAAATAAATAAATGTTTATTGAAACAGCCACACCCGTTTATTCCACGTGCTGTCCGTGGCCGGTTTGTTGCTACAAAGGCCAGCTGGAGCTGTGTTCTCAGAGAACGTAAGTGGCCCGACAACTTCAAAACATTTACCCTCTGGCCCTCTACGGAGTCTTCTGCCCCTGTTTTACGAGCACCACTGTCTTGCCGTTTTCCAAACCACACAATGAGCTTTCTGGTCTTTAGAGGACAGGAACCTGTTGCCATGCCTGTACCCCTGGTTAAGCATTCCAGCAATGAACTAGATCGGTGCGCTCACCGGCTCCCGCAACTCCGCTCCGGGAAAACTCTCCAGTGCCTGCACCCCTCAACAACCAAGCTCTTAACCAATTGTCTCCCCACTACAGCGTGTCTCTTTTTCAGGCAGGAGCACAAAAGTCTTGCGGCTCCCCCACCATCGTGTAGCGCTAAGGGCATACCCAGCTCATTGACCTACAACCCCACCAGGTGGGCTCTGTTCCTCCCGTCCCCATTTCGCAGTGGCAGGACTGTGGGCACAGAGAGGCTGCGCCACCTGCCCCATCTCGCGCAGGTGACAAGTGATGGAGGCACAATTGGAAGCCACAGGGTCCGGATCGGAGCGCCTGCCCGGCTCAGAGAGCCCCCCCAGCCCAATAGCCTGGAGGGGGTGGGTAGCATCTCTTCCGGCCGGGAGGGGCGCGGAGGTCCCGGGGCAGCAGAGCAGGCAGGGAGGGGCGGCGCGCGGCGCGAGAGGAGCCCCCCGGTCCGGAAATAACGGAGCGTTTCCCACGCCCGCCCCCGCCCCCGCCCCCGCCCCCAAAACCCCTCCCCTCAGACCACCGCTCCGCGGAGGTGGCGGGCGGCGAAACGCTGAGTCACGGTGAGGCTATCAGCTCAGGCGCCCTCCCTGCCCTACGCTAAATGCCCGCGCCCCGAGCCCCGCGCCGCCTCCGCAGAGGACCGGAGGCTCGAGGGGGTGCTGCGCTCCTGGTGCGGACCCCGCCTTCCCCAGCAAGCCCGCGACTCCGGGGGAAGCTCTCGGGAGGTGACGGGAGATGCTTAAATAGGACTCAGGCATTGGGCAAAAAGTGCCAGGCGGCTTTCCTGTCTGCAAAGTACCGCGGTCTGGTAAGCACCTCGTCAGTTGTTCGCCTGCGTAGAATTTACGGGGCGGGAGTTTGGAAGGACCTAGAAGTGGCGCGTGTAGGGGTAAAGCCCTCCCTGGTTTCTTGTTAGGGAGGTGATGTCGGTTCTGTACCGCTCTGAGGATTGAATGCCTTTCTGAGACCCCACTGTCCAGCACCCAATAAGAATTGATTGATTGCTTGGCCGGGGGTTCGGGGGGAAACTCATTTTGACGGACGGGCCGGCCGTTGCCGAATGGAGTGCTCTGCCTAACAGCACCTAGCATTCCCAGAGGGCTGACCAGACTCCTTTGAGGTAGGCAGTCTTAGTACCCCTAGTTCATAGATGGAAAAAATGAAGCACAGAGAGGCTTAGGAAGTGGCCTCGGGGCACACAGCAGGTGCCTGGTGACGCCGGGATCCAAACCGGCGCTCTCAGGTCTATGCCTCTTGCTAAAGCGTCTTTGGTGATTTGAGTAGGAATCTTTGAACGAATGGGTTGTCTTTCGCTTGGAAAATGAGTTTTAGAGATTTGGCGGCACGCTGTGCAAGCATTTGAAGTGGAGGAGAGGTGTGTTGTGTTTGTCCTGGGATACTCCGTTCAGTACAACTACTGGCCCACAGAGAGAAAACTCTTTTGAATAACAATGGTGGGGTATAGACGGGTCTTCAAATACAGGATTGGTGTCAAGGACACCTCCTTCCGTTTCCTGCGCTCTTGATAACTTCCTGACAAAGCTCAAAGATTTCTTGCCGCTCAAGTTGGCCCTGAACTTGAGGGATAGATGGATCTTTGAATTTGGTGATTCTCGAAGATCCTTTCGGTGCCAAGATCTTAAACGTGTTTTGGTGAGAGTCACAGACCTCACGGATTTCCTCCATGTTCCCATAGTCACCACGTAAATCTCTCTCAGCCTCCCCGTAGCACCTACCTGGTGGGGCAGCAATGAGGGGTGGGGGAGGTTGAGAAATTGCAATGAGATAAAGCAGATAAAGGGGCGCCTGGCTGGCCCAATCAGTCGAGCATGCAGCTCTTAACCACGAGGTCCCGAATTCCAGTCCCATGTTGGGTGTGGAGCCGGCTTCAAAAAAAAAAAAAAAAAAAAAGGCAAGCGGATAAAGCACTCATTAGAGGTTAGTAAGTGCCCAGCAGAGCTGTTATCGCTAAACCTTGTAAAAGATGGCTGTAGGATTGCATGAGATTGCAAATGATTAGTGGTACTAATGTATTAGTGGTCATACATGTTCACCAGCATTATTGTTTTGAATTTCCTAACCCAGGTCTTCTACAGACTAAGCAGCCGATATATTGTAGCTGTTAATATTTTGGGCAGGTCTGAATTTAATATCCCTTATTTCGTGGTCTTTGGATGTGTCCTCCTTATGATTTTTCTTTTTTGTTGCCCCCCCTCCCTTTGAGGGGCAACACCTCAGCGTTGGAACACTCTTTTGAGACTTCAGCATGGCATCCTCCAAGAAAGTGATCCTGTCCGTGCTCAGCTGCGAGCAGAGCAGTCGGAAGGGGTTGGAGCCAGGGTCCGCAGAAGCATTAGCAGACCCGAGGTAAGCTGCTGGGGGAGCTGTTTTCGTGCTTTCCTGCAGAAGGCGCTGGTGGGACCTGAGGCTTACCTTGGGAAGAGAGGGCTTGGGGCAATCATGACCTGCCTTATGGGGGGGCCATAGGGGCGAACTCTCAGGGGGTTTTGCTAACTTGGGCACAGAGGTCTGGCACAGAAGGTACAGCTGAAGCCTCTCCACCCCTCTCCGCATTCGCTCCCGCATTCGCTCGTCCTACCCTGAGGTGAGCCACCAGCCTGAGCATGCACATCAACAAACATGCCCACCTTATAGCCCCAAGTTGACTCCCCCGCAATTCAAGGCACCAAGGAGTAACATTAGGTCCCGGTTCCAAATTCCCAGGCGAGAGCATCTTCTTGGCTTGGTTTGGGTCCCGTCTCCCTCCCCCTTGGCCAGTTAGCGGGGCGAAGGATTTGGGTTTGTGGACAAACCACAGAGACCCAACTGTGGACCTCCTGTGGGGATGGGGGTGTGAGAAGGCTTCTCTCATAGATGATTTTAGGTTAGATAGACCTCTTTCGGCATGAGAGAGCAGTTTTATTTGAAAATTGCAGAGGATGTGGGGCTTGCAGGAAAGAACATCTTATTTATACAGAAAGGTATCAAGCGGTGATTTTAGTTCATGGAAAATAGCGCTCATCACCATCCCAGATTCCAAAAACATTTTTTGATTGCAGTATAACTAACCTATGACCTTGTAAGATTCAGGTAAACAACTACAGAACACAGAGATTTGATCTTTATATATATTGCAAAACAATCACCACGATCGGTCTAGTTAACATCTGTCACCATACGCAGACAACTTTTTTTTTTCTTGTGATGAGAACTTTTCAGATGTACTCTCTTAGCAACTTCTGAGTGTACAGAACAATGATGTTGATTACAGTCACCACGCTGTACATGACATCCCCAGGACTTACTGATATCATAACTTATAACTGGAACTGAGTACTTTTTGAACACCTTGACGTATTTCGCCCCCCTCCCCCTCCCCCACCTTTGGCAAAACCCATGAAGCTGTTCTCTGTGTCTGTGCGCTTGGTTCATTTATTTATTTTCTGATTCCACATGTAAGTGAGCTCTTATGGTATTTGGCTTTCTCTATTTCACTTAGCATAATGCCCTCAAGATCTACCCACGTTGTTACACATGACGAGATCTCATTTTTTGTGGCTAAGTAGTATCTCAGTGTGTGTGTGTGTGTACACAACACATATATCATATTTTCTTTTTTCCATTCAGTGGGTATTAGGGTGGTTTCCATGTCTTGGCTATTGTGGAAAAATGCTGCAATGAATGTGGGGGTGCAGATCACTTTCTGGAAGTTAGTGTTTTTGTTTTCTTTGGGTGAACACCGAGAAGTGGGATCGTGGATCATATGGTAGTCCTATTGTTAATTTTTCGAGGAACCTCCTACTGTTTTCCATAGTGGCTGCACCAATTTACATTCCTACTGACAGTGCACAAGGGTTCCTTTTCCTCCACATCCTTCCCTACACTTGTTATTTCTTGGCTCTCTGATGCTAGCCATTCTGACAGGTGTGAGGTGATCTCTCACTGTGGTTTGGATTTGCATTTCCCTCCCTGGTGATTAGTGATGTTGATCATCTCCCCTCTGCCGCCAGATATTTTTGAATAAAGGAAGAAGTATATTCGGGAAATGGATTATTTTTTATTTTTTTTTTAAGATTTTATTTGTTATTTATTTATCTGTCAGAGAGAGGTGGGGGGAACACAAGCAGGCAGAGGCAGAGAGAGAGGCAGTCTCCCTGCCGAGCAAGGAGCCCGATGCGGGACTCGATCCCAATACCCTAAGATCATGACCTGAGCCGAAGGCAGCGGCTTAACCGACTGAGCCACCCAGGCGTCCCTGGATTCTTTTTAAAACATGAGGTCAGTTTGTTCTTCTGCCTAAAATCGGCTCTGGCATTCTTATGCTCTTTCGTTTTCACCTGTGAATGTCATTGGGGGTCCATCAGACATTGTTTTCCAAAGGGTTACACGCAAATAAGGGTTACATGCAAACAAGATTATTCTAAGGTCTAAATGGACAGTGGGTGTTGGGGACACGGAGATGGATGTGCTATCATATTCTATTAGGCCACATCACTGAAAGAATAATTATGAGGAATTTGGACACCCATTAGTAAAGCCATTATTGTGTGTCGAGGGTAGCTAATTCTTTAATGACTCCATCTGTCAGCACACATCTGCTGAAGCTTTCTAAATATTTTTAGTCCTGTCAACCCCTTTCGTAGTCTGATGAAACCAACGCGTTTCTTCTCAGAGTAACATATATTTTATTTGATGGAGAGGGAGAGTGAGAGAGTACAAACGGGAGTGGCAGAGGGAGAGGGATATGAGCTCGTGACCTGAGCTGAAGGCAGATGCTTAACCCACGGAGCCACCCAGGTGCCCCAGAATAATATTTTTTTAATGTGTGAAATAAAATACATAGGATTACAAAGGAAAACATATGGCAATATGGTGAGCAGAATATTACAAAACAAATTTGTAATCTAGTAATTTGCATTAAGTAACAAGACTCAGTGGCAGGTCATATCACTACCTAATTTCAAAGCTGCGAGGGACATGGATAGTAATAGTTTCCTATACTGGGGCACCCGGGTGACTCAGTCAGTTGAGCCCCTGACTCTTGGTTTCGGCTCAGGTCATGATCTCAGGGTCCTGAGGTTGAGCCCCACCCCCCAATAAATAAATAAATCTTTAAGAAAGTAGTTCAGTATACCTGTAGTAACTGTCACGTTATATGAAACAGCTTTGAGTTCTAGTGGTAACAGGGTCGCAGGTGCTGGTGATTTACTGTCCTGCTTTGACTGCATTCATGGTTAAAGTATTACATTCCAGGAGCACCTGGGTGGCTCAGTGGGTCAGAGCCTCTGCCTTCGGCTCAGGTCATGATCCCAGGGTCCTGGGATCGAGCCCCGAATTGTGCTCTCTGCTCAGTGGGGAGCCTGCTCCCCCCCCCCCCGCCCCGCCTGCCTCTCTGCCTACTTGTAATCTCTGTCTGTCAAATAAATAAATAAATAAATCTTAAAAAAAATAAAGTATTACATTCCAGCCTGGAGATGGCTGCGGGGGACGCTTGTTTACTTACCAGTGTGAATGTACTTCCTGACACTGAAGTGTTTACTTAAAAAAAAGTTAAAATGGTAAATTTTCTTATGTATATTTTACTACCAAAAAAAAAAATTCCAGATGAAAAAACAATTTTCAGTTAGAGGTTAGTGAAAATCAAGATGTAATTTTTTTTCCCAGCCGAATTTATAGCTGCCCTGAATTCTATCCATGGTACCCAGTTAAGAGTGCCTGGCTGAAAACCCGTGCTTTAAAGACCCCCACATTCTACTGATTCAGAGGGTCTCCCATTTATGCCTCTACCCTAAGGAAAAATATGTGGATTGGAATCATTCCTAATGCTGTCACCCTGGTTTAATCATGATTAAGACGGAGAATGTTTCCTTTTTTCTCCATTATAGCTGTATGTTTTACATAACGGGGATTATATAAACTAAACAAATTTCTGTCCTTGTTTTTTCATTTAACAGGTTAACATAAGCACTTCCCATGGAATTATAAATTCTTCATGCACATCTTTTTTTTTTTTTTTTGAGAGAGAGAGAGAAAGAGTGCACACACACATGTGAGGCCAGGAGGGGCAGAGGGAGAGAGAGAATGTCAAGCAGGCCCCATGCGCAGTGCGGAGCCCGACTTGGGGGCTCGGTCTCACGATTCTGAGATCACAACCTGAGCTGAAATCAGGAGTCCGATGCTTGACCAACTGAGCCACCCAGGCAGCCCCTTCACGAACATCATTTAAGTCGCTGTGACACGTTCCCGTGTCCGGCACACTGTTACTGTCTTAGTCATGGACCTACTTTTGACCATTTAGGTTGTCACCATACTGTTAGCATGGCAGAAGGGCAGACCCCCTCACCCTGCAATCTGCAGAGAAGGGAAGCACTGATGTGGTTTCGGGGCGGTACGTTTTAAACTTTTTGTGCCAAGGCTTCGTCTCTAAAGAAACATCGCCAACCCTTTGGAGCCCAGAGCTATTTTAGTGTAGAATTTACAACAGTGTTTGGTATGAGTGGCCCTCAGCAACCGGTTCCCTATGGCCGTAAATGAGGAAGTAGAGATATTTACAAAGCTTTCACTGAGCCTTTTGGTGATGAACAATAAAGCAGAGATGAGGTGGGATTGGCTTTCATTAGGATTCTGTGCGGGCCAAGGCTACCAAGCTGGAACGTGGATGATGATTGCATAGCTCGATGTTCGTGGCTCCCTTGGCTGTGCCCCCAGCAGGAGGGAAGCCCACGACTCCTTTGTACCCGCCTCTGGGTACACTCCTTGGTGGAACATGATTTTCCTGGGGCCAGTCTCAGACATTTTTTTTTTAATCATGAAGAATTGCAAACTTAGAAAAATAGAGAAAAGAGTGTAATGAGTCCCCATGTACCCAATCTCCATAGTGATCAACTCAGGGACATTTTCGTTTCCTCTATATTCCCCATCTGTTCCTGCACTCAAAGTATTTTATTTTATTTTATTATTTTTTTAAAGATTTTATTTATTTGACAGAGATCACAAGTAGGCAGAGAGGCAGGCAGAGAGAGAGGAAGGGAAGCAGGCTCCCTGCTGAGCGGAGAGCCCGATGCGGGGCTTGATCCCAGGACCCTGGGATCATGACCTGAACCGAAGGCTGAGGCTTTAATCCACTGAGCCACCCAGGCACCCCTGCATTCAAAGTATTTTAAAGGTGAATCGTTCCATTTTCCTTGTAAATATTTCGGTTTGTGTTTCTAAAAGATTGAAACTTTAAGAAATTAAACTATAACCCCATTACATACTTAAAAATTATGAGTCTCCTGATATCGTCAAATAACCTTGAGAAATCTTGGTCCTGATTGATACAGCCTGTGTAGATGGTGCTGTCCATTATCGAGGTCTCTCGGTGTTGA